ATATAGTATATAAGGTTTGAAAGACCTATTTTCGTAATGTTTGTAGTAATTTATGTGCTAAGCTTTACTGCTACAATTTGTTGATTGTTATCAAATGAACTGATAGCGTTCAAAACGTTATTTACGAAGTAGGCGTGTTTGTGCTCTAATCTTTCCAACTGAGCTGTAATAAAATTGTATCAAAATTATGCTCTAAACCAAAGTTACTTCAAAAGGGGGTGGAACAGTTTGGATTTGGGAGGTGTGTTCTTTGAAAGAATTCATTCAAAACCTCTTCAATCATTTAGCATTAAATTTTTTTCTTTATATTTAAATCTTCGTAAATACTCACACCTCGCACGCATGAATGTGTTTATATGAAAAATATGCAGTGGAGTCAAATGTGCTGTTTGTCGAGAAAAAGTGAGCAAATATTTCATGCAAATTAATCACTTCACGCTCGAAAGCAATGATCTGCTTGTATTTTAATTAACATATTTTACACGCCGCAGCGCATATTAACTATTTGTATTAAATTTCATTTTAAATTCATCATTAGCTCGCACAATTAATTTCGCGTTAAAAATGCAAGTTTTTTGCATTGGTGGAGGGTTTTTAATAACTGTTTTTTATTGTCGTAAAGCTAACAAATCGGATGGTTTTTACAAACTAAATTATGTGTGTGATGAAAGTTTGTGCTAAAAAAAGTAAAAGCATGTTTATATTTATGTCAAATTATCGTTTATAATGGGAAAATTATTTAATACAAATATTTATTGTTGCATATGGGTATGAACATATTTATTTTATTATTTTGTTAGCTTTGCAGGTGGAGCGTTAATGGCTTCTACGAAAAGTAATTTCGGAAAAATTTTACAATTGCATAATATCAGGCGAAATTATATTGCTTGGCTATGCAATCTTGCGCAACTTAATTCTGGGTACTGTACTAGTTTAAATTCCTATTTATCCAGAAACGACAAAGACGTGCCAAATCTATGTCCTGTACGCAACGAGTCTCCACTTGACTATAACCTCTTTGCATGCCCTATGAAACCAACCCATCTAACAGGCTTCATACTCTTTCCACACCCCGTCCAAACAGCACATTTACTGGGCCTCCTAGATGAGTTTGCTGACAATCAACTTGTGCTTTGCTACCCAAATAAGGTCTGGATTAACTTGTACTGTTGTAAGCACGCGTTAGTATGTAGTTTCTAGCACTGGTATGCTCCAACAATGTCTCCTACACTGGAACTATGGTATACTTACAAGTAAATTATAGAACTTCCGTGAAATGAAATTGTAACCAATTTCGTTGGAGATAGTTAGCTGTGCAAGTGATTTGATGACGTTTCCTTACACAGGAGTTTTTATATTGATATACAGTTTAATATTTTAAGTGAAATTAGTGAAAGTACCTATCTTTTGGGTCCCAATTTATTGAAGTATAGTATACCAAACAAAGCTTAGATATTTAAAGCAAATATTTCAAGGATGATATATCATTTAGGATCTACAATGCAGACGCTTTATAATTGTTAAATCGGCATTGGAATGACTTCGAAATAGGTGTTGATAAATCTAATTATCTGTATTGAGAATTGTGATTCTTTAATCTTATCGAAAGCGTATACCAAGAAAAATATATATTAGGACAGTCAAAGAGTTGAAGTAAATTACGGTCACGGATATCTCTATATAGATCAACTATGGAACACAATCTAGGTATATCGATGAAGTAGAATCGCCGATGTTTAGATAAGAATATCTGGAAGGTACTTTGATAATTTTTAAAGAGAAGGTCATGAAGTAATAGAAAAATGAAGTAATAGAAAAATTACTTCATGCTAGTCGATCATTCACCTCTGTTAATGACGATAACATCGAACAAATTAAAGATACAGTATTTAAAAATTATCGTGTGTGCATCAGAAAGAGATAGCAGAGCATCTCAACTTAGCACATTTTGGTTAATGCTTTAAGTATGAAACAGTTCAATGATAGACCTTCCTTTGCAAAAACGACGTCGTCAACGACAACGTAGTTGAGAATTCTACATTCATCAAACGCTTCATTTCAGATGATGCGACATGTGTTTATGAATATGACGTCGAAACTGTTCAACAATCTAGCGAATGACGTTCCAAAACTGAGCCAAAACCGAAAAAACCAAAATTCGTTGAGGGCATTGAAGATCATCCCACCTGACGCTTATAACAACTGAATGGATTAAGCGTTAGCATGCTTGTATTGGCTCAAAGGGAGCCGATTTTGAGGGCACTAATAAATAGTTGTACTAAAATACGTAAAAGAGTTTTTTTTCTGTCAGTCGGGTCAAATTTATTAGTCTGCTAAAAGATAAAACGCTATATTATTACAAGCTTTAGTGTTGAATTGGAGAGTTTTGCGAACATTTTATGTGAAGGCGGTTGCTGAAAAGAGCATTTTCAAATTATGCTAAAATTTACTCACTTTATTGTTGGTAAACATCCTACAATGCCACTGAATGGAAGTACAATTTATATATTCAAATTATTACGAAAAATATTTCGTATAATAATAAAATCAATTGTGAATTTGTTAAATGGAGATGTAACAGGTATAAACTGAATATTTCAAATTGTATATACACAATACATTTATGCATGATACAAACATACACACACACATACAAAAATGTAAAAGTTTCTATGAAAAAAGGCGAATGGAATTCAATTGAAATTCAAACAGTAATTTCCGTTTCAAAATTGTTTACCCATCAATGTCAAAATACAATATATGAACATATACATATATACATTTATGTAAGCATGTGTGTATGAGCACGTGTACGTGCCACCGCAGCGTGTTGCAAATATGTTGTTAAAAAATAGTTAGTAGCGCCATATTCACCAGTAAATAGAAAATATCAATCAGTTGAGTGATGGATGACGGCGGACTGAAAAACAGATAGCTCGCACCGCACATCTACAAACACACATTCTTCTGCAAACACGCACACAAGCGCAATTTCTAACCGCAAATGATGGAAATTAAAATTTAATAAAAAACGTGCGAGCAAAGCGCACAGGGAGTTGCTGCGGCTAAAAAATACTAAAGCACTATTTACACATACAAATACCAGTTGGCTTTTGTGTGCGTGGAGCTCAGCTATAATACTGATAGTAACAACAATAATAGCAATTACCACATAAAAAATTGGTTGCGCTTTATGTGCCTTGCGGTTGCCGTTGAACAATGTAATCTTGAACGCACACGCGCTTCCCCCAAGTGACCGCAGCCAACCGCAACAAATGCAGGACAAAATCTCACGCACACACCGGCGCTCACACATACATGGAAGCGCATGGATTGAGAAGCCGTAAAGAAAAAGATACGGACCGTAGGATACTTCTCTTACAGTACAAACTCGTTTATATAGAACTTTAGACGGGATTTGTTAAAAATAAACAAACTTCTTGAATTTATAAAATATTTGTAGAAGAACTTTACAAGTCCAATAATAAGTTCAGCTAAAATTTTATCTCTGACTATATTGGGTTGAAGCAATCAAAAAAACTAGTTTACCACAAAGTCACCGAACTAAGCTCTGGCGGTTTTTTTCCTGCCATTATACCGCTATAGGCCGCTGGAGAAGAGGTGCAATGAGCTTATTTACGTATGGGTTAAAGTTTGAGGGAGTAATGGTGGAAATGCCCACTGTTAGGAACTATCCATCAATATTAGTGACAGGTTACTTATCTATTGTAGCATTTTTCAAGCCGAGGTTGTGCCATCAAGGTTGCAGTTGCTTCCTTTAGCCTTGAACTCTGTGATTGCCTGCTCGAGGCTGGTTAAGAAATGCCCAACCTTACTATCAACGGCATCGGGTTACTTCTTGATAAGACTAGTTGTGGTCCAAGGTCATAGCGGAATCGCAGGCAACTGTAGAGCTGATGAGAGCATCAGCCTCGCTGTCGTTGCAGTGGCAATGTTTTGCGCCTCTGCTGTCCTGTTAAAGTTTACTATTGGAAAGCTGCGCATTGAGTAAGCTTGATGAGCTGGACAATTATCGGTAACTGTGCGGTCGCAAAATTCCTCTGACCCAAAGTCAATAGGTCAAGAGGATCAGCAAAGTTAGGCAATGGTATAATGGAAGCTGGAATATATATTCTTGTTGAGAGGCAAAAACTAATCGTTTTTGTACCTATTGTAGGTTCTTAAGGTTCAGCATGTTATTCTAAGTAGTCTAGCATATTTTTAACAAAATGGATTATTCCGATGTTGTTAGAAAAACCATAATTTCAGGGAACTTCTGTGACAAAATACTGTTTGCAAAGTATAATGCTTAAAGAATAACAAAAGTCTTCTTCTCCACTGTCTAGCACTTATGAGTAGGAGAGTAAAATTTCTGACTACACATTTCTTTATTATGGTTTTAATACCTGGAAGTTTATAACACCCAAAAGATGATCGGCATGATGAACTGAGTCATGTTCGTCTGGCTGTCCGTCCGTCTGTCTGTATATACCCGAACTAGTGCGTTATTTTTTGAGATTTCATGAGTTATTCATGTTACCGGTTACATTGAGCCGACTATCAGGAACAATACGACGTATCTGTCAAATAGTGATTCCATAGAATTTTTTTCTCAGCTATATTCTTATCAAAAATGACTAAATGGTTCGTTGATCATCATTTTCAATTCAAAGTGACGCGTAAAAGCAAAAACTCCGACTGTGTTTAATCACGTTTCCACGGCAGTTGCGTCTAAGTAACCGGAACGGTTCCGGATTTTTGTCTGGCCAACTTGACACCATTTCTCGAAATTACTGCAGGAAAGTTTTCTGTTGCTACAACAACAACAACAGTGTGCAATTCATTCGTTCATAGATGACAACGTAAATGCGTAGTACAAATAAGCGGGCGCTGACTGTGCTATCAGCCATGTTCAGTGAACTTATCCACACACATATACACACATACATATATACGTAAGTCATTACTGAAATAGAATTCATTCATATTCGCACACTTACCTCATAAGAGCCGGCCGTATCTAGAATGTCCAGCGTCAGACTAACGCCAGCAATTGAAAAGTTGCCTTGATGCATTTCCTCGATGGTCCTTTTGTATTTCGTGGTGAATGTGTTGTATAGAAATTGTGTGATTATGGAAGTTTTGCCCACTTTGGCCGAACCCATAACAACGATTTTGTGACGTGCGTTAGCGGGTCCAATAGCGTCATCCACGGCATTGTTGCGTCCAACTCTGAAACGATAAAGCCAAAACGAAGAAAAAAATTGAGAGGAGAGCAAATAAATGCAAATGCATAAATAAAGCATATTGAAATGGCCGTTATGAAAAATATTAAAAGCAACCGCACAACAACAAAAATCTCAAAAGTATGAGGCAATGAGCAACATGTATCTTCTGCCCGGCGGAAGTTAGTATAACATGACCAAGTTAAATAATGGATCAGCAACAACCAGCGCGGCACATGCATACACGCACACTCCTGTACATACAGTGTATATGTTAACGGTAAATCGCTGGTATGTTGGAGTGCGTGTGCGTCCTATCAAATGGCGGCGGCCCGGATAAGCCACGCATTACTTATAAACGATTTTGTACATTTGTGTGTATGTGTTGTATGTCTGAAAACCAGAAAAACGAGCGGCATGGCGATGTATTAGGCGTGTGGTTTTAAATTTTCTAATTAAATTGTGGCAAGATGATTTATAATGGTGCCAAAGTTTTGCGGCCCTGTCAGCGATGTCAACGTTGGATGGCGGATATGCGCCGAGTGGCAAATAAATGCGTAGACAAACTGTTTTTGAAGCACCGAAGGTGAGCTAGTCAATTCAATTAAAAGCGTAATATGCACGAAGCGCTTCTAAGCACATCTTTGGGGAAATTAAAAGCAAAATGCAAATACTCTAGCATTAATGCAAATATAAGTGTGCGAAGTGTGCTTGAAAGGTCGGTGAGGATTTGAGTAAAATATATTGTTTTACAAAAACTAATTATATTTTTTTTAAATGTAATCTTATCTCTTATTTATTAAATAAAGAAAGATAGGAAAAGATGGGTTAATTTTTTGAAATATCGATAGCCTCTAGATGTTAAAAAAAAATTTTTTTCCAAAAATTTTCTGTTTTTCTAATCTAAAAATTTTACCCTCAGGCTAAGCAAAAAAAATTTTTTTTTCGCTCCACCCTACTGTATATAGTCTCTCAGTTTTTCAGACATCACGAAACGTGTTTTCCGAGTCGGTGCAGAAAATTTCTTCACAACGGCTGGGCGCCCGATTTGAAACCTTTACGCGAACACCTTAAATATATTTGTGTATAAGAATTTTGATAATAATTTTGATTTTTAAGCCACTTTTGAGCTGTAAATTCTTTTTACAAAAAAAAAAAAAATATTTTTTGGAAAGTCCCTATTTTGTATCGATCTGAAATTTTACATATGTCCTTTACTTCCCAACAAGCTGCTTCTTTGTCGGAACTGCCGATTCGGGCTACTATAGCATATAGCTGCCATACAGACTGAAATCCAGTCCTAGTAAAGAAAACTTTTTTATTTTACGAGATATTTTCATGAAATTTGGCATGAATTATTATCCAAGGCAACAAACGAACAATTTCCGAAGAAATTATTCAGATCGGACTATTATAGCATATAGCTGTCATACAAATTTGTAGTCGGTCCTCTATAGTTGGTGTTCCAAGATTAGATTTTATAGCAACAATTCATTGCGGGTCTTGGATAATTTACGGAGACCGCGTTTGCGGCTCGGTCTGAATTCGTTTTTTTGTTGCCTTCTATACCTACAAGAAAAGCTAACGGCCCCTCGTATTACAGAACTGATACGATTATTTTTTAAGTGTTGAGTTGGATATAATAGTTTATTAAGCTATGTTTCTCAAATGGTACTAATTTATGAGATCGTGCTTTTAGAGAGTTCAGGATAATGCTGCTTGAATATAAAACTGCATAGCTTAGATTATGCGGACACGAGGGTCTGTACGATTCTTTAGCTTCAGAGAATGTTCAAAATTGTTACTAAAATCATCGAGCTAAGCATTAATAATATTTTATGTGGGCGAAGTAATTCTCAAAAAAATAGCCGTAAAGCCGAAGAGCTTGGTTTGACGTCTTATGCAATAGACCAGGTGCTAAATTAAGGCGTCATTAAACGTCAACATGTTCGCTAATTGCCTACACACCGCATTTGGGTCTGATCCTAGCGAGTTTTTATGTTCTCAGACCAGAAAAAGGGAATTTTATTTTGGTTCAAAGAAGCACATATTAGCCTGAATAATTACTACTTGAATTATAATGCTAAATTGAATTGATGCTGGGTCTATGCTAAACCTTCTTTAATTCTACTTGAGCTGCCTCGCAAGGCAACATTAAAGAGCAAAACGAGCGAGCGAAAACAATTCGTAAAAGTCATGAATGTAAAAAGTGACTTACTCAGAAGGTACGCTAATACTATCGTATAGCCGTTATACTTATAAGATAGCGATTCTGTCTACCCGCATTTGATTTAAGCAAAAATATCATGAAATAATTGCAAGCAAGTCTTTAATGATTCGATATATAGCAACTTCATTAGAAAACTTTCACAAACCATGAATACTGGAAATCCATCGAGAAATGAAATACTATGTCTTTCGACAAATTCAGGCCGTATACAATCTAAATGCCAGCTTATGTAATCAAACTCGGCACGAAATCATAACAAACCGTGCACAGGAACAAAGAGACATTAATTTCACGGGAAAAATGTCACTTGCAGTTTCTTCAGCTTTGCGCCAGTCTAGTGAATGCTATCTCACTGAAATAGTAAAACTTTTTAACTGCCTGTCACATATGTGCATCGGTTGCATAATTATATACACACACACAAGCACTGGAAAATAAGTTAGCTGAGTGTCGCTGGCACACCTCGACTTGACGTGCAAACTTTATTAACACAACAAACTCAGTCAAAACTCAGCAGAAACCGTTGCGCAGATGCTACGTGTAACGCAACTACTGAATGACTTGACAAACCCGGCAAGCAGTTGCAGCCAGCAGTCAACATGGCCTTGAAGAAGAAAAGAGAATAATGAGAGTGTGAATATTTCTGTGGCAGTTGAAGCTACCCTGTAGGAGTCATATCGTAGTTATGACTAAACTGAAATAATGGGGTTAGCACAGAACTATGTTTGTAGGTTAAAACTTTCGCTGAACCGTTCTTTATGAATAAATGTAAATATTAATTGGTTATATGCATTTTTGAATTTCAAAAAAATCGAATTTTTGGACATATGTATATCGCATTTACACATATTTCATTGTATTCTGCGGAATTTAGCAGCTGATTCGAAAAATAGTTTCAGACATATGAGTGTATTTTTAAGAGTTTAATTGTTTTTCCAAATCGGTGAGGAAAACTTTTTCATAATTTTTGATTTTTTAAGCCACCCTGAAGTGTAAATTTTTTTCTAAAAACTACTTTATTTTGGGGAAACCGCCACATTGTCAAACATCAAAATTGTAACTATAACCCCTAAAGATAAGTTATTAATAAAAGATATATATAATATATACCTTTTATTGCATTTCAGTTATTTTTGTACTGCAGTTTCAAGGATGTGATTAGTGTGCGTTTTTTACTTCATATATAATATTTTCAATTCTAATATGTATGTTAGTTGGCAACTCTGTTTGAAAAAATATTCAAATCATCAGTTATTTTTATACTTTAGTTTGTAAATGTGAATAATATGCAACTTTGCTGCATATATATTATATATATTTTATTTAATTAAATTTTAATAAAATGTTAAGTGGCAACCCTATGGAAATTTTTTTAATAAATTAATTGTGGTCACCAATTATCAGACATACATATTTAATTTCATTACACTTTCAACTGTATTTAGCTTTCCAAAATTTTGGTTAGTTGGCAACACTGTTTTACGTTTTTTCGTTTTCTTCGAACCAGTTTTGTTTGAGATATAGGAAAATATAGAAAGAAATAGAACAAATACTTTTTAGGAGACCTCTACGTCAAAGTCATCAGTTCTTTGTTTGAATACCATACGAACGCCTAACGGTAATTGTGCTCGTGACACTAAAGCCGCGTTCTTTTTGATTGCACTATATTTTTCTGCCGGGTTTGTGCAGTGTCAACATGAAAAATAATCAGTTAAGTTATACACATATTTGTTGTTGTTGTTTTTGAGGTGTGTTGCAGTAATATGGGCGTGTGTACACACTTGTTGCTAATGAGGTTTTGGTATTGTAACCGATTTGTGTATTGCGGTTGATATTCTCGTTTAACTCTTCGTTTGCTTTGTCTTTTGCTCAAAGGCAATAGCAGAAAGTGTAATTTTAATTAAAACTTTATTATGCATTGCATTCACAGTAACAACTGCAACAAGAACAATGCAGTGATATCTGCTTACAGTATTTGTAAGTGTGTGTGTGTTTATTTGGAGCTGTGAAGGCGTATTTTGCTAATTCTTGATTTTATCAAAGAAGTGAAATATTTTTTTGTCCAACTTTAATTGCTTACTGGGTTATACAAAGCAGCTTTGTTGTTAAAATGAAGTGCTCATCAAAGGTAATATTGCTCATGGTTTCCTTGGGGACGCAATAGTCGTTTGGATATTAAAATGCTGCTTTGTTTGACAAAAAATTAAATAGTTAATACATTCTATACATTTTTTAATTTGTGAAGATTATTTGTTAAATTTTTTTGACTCAAAGGTTTGTGTAAAAAGATGAGCAGAATCAGAGAGGTACGGACTTAATTCAATACACTTAATTGAGAATGGGAAGAATATACACAAATATTAAATAGCCCTCGATGACTCATCAGTCTTTTGAGAAACTTGTTCACGACAGAAACACACTTGGAGTGGTGATATAGTCTTCTGTGACAGCGGCTACTTTTTCAAAAATAGTTTATACTTTATATACTATTCGCAAATCTGTAAATTATTTTTAAGGAGTTTTACGGATTCAAAAAACAAAAAAAAATTGTATTTTCTTATTTAATTCTATAACATCTCTAGAATATTGTCCTAAATTTTCAAGTTGATACCAGTAATAGTTTTGAAGGTACAGCCTTGAAAAATTGAGCGCTTGAGGTTAGGTATATAATCGCTTAAAACTTTAAACGTGTTTTTCTCGAAACTGTGTTTTCAAAGGCGGTTTTCAATTTTTTCTTTTTACTTTTGATGATCCTGTCAGAAATTCTGCTGTCAACG